GGGTGCAGTGACTTTGGTTTGCAAAAAACACAGTGGACCAACACCAGCAGATGACATTGCACCCCAAACCATCACAGACTGTGGAAACTTAACACTGGACTTCAAACAACTTGGGCTATGAGCTTCTCCACCTTTCCTCTAGGACCCCAGCCTCAGTCTATTTCTTGTGAAGTTCATCCACATTCTTGAATCGATTTTGCTTGACAAGCCTTTCAAGGCTGCGGTTCTCTCAGTTGGTTGTGCATCTTTTTCCTACCACTCAACTTTCTGTTAACATGCTTGGATACAGCACTCTGTGAACAGCCAGCTTCTTTGGCAATGAATGTTTGTGGCTTACCCTCCTTGTGAAGGGTGTCGATGATTGTCTTCTGGACAACTGTCAGACCAGCCGTCTTTCCCATGATTGTGTAGCCCAGTGAATCAAACTGAGTGACCATTTTAAAGGCTCAGGACACCTTTGCAGGTGTTTTGAGTTGACTAGCTGAGTGGCATGTCACCATATTCTAATTTATTGAGATTGTGAATTGGTGGGTTTTTGTTAAATGTGGCCAAAATCATCACAATTAAAAGACCCAACAACTTAAACTACTTCAGTCTGTGTGTACTGAATTTATGTAATACACAAGTTTCACTATTTGAGTTGAATTACTGAAATAAATGGACTTTTCCATGATATTCTAATTTATTGAGATGCACCTGTATTAGAAACCTAATTAACGATTAATTAAATGTCCATACGACTAAAAGTCAGGATATCTCAGCCTCTGCTGCTTCCGTTTTGAACTTTTTGAACACTGCAGACTCTTCTGATCCCCATGTTTTCCAGATAGCTGTAACTACTGCTAAAAAGGGAGGCCTTGTGGGTGAGCAGGTTAATTAACAGTTGTTTTCTTGCTGTGTGTAGCTCAGATGTAGACAATGCGACAGAGGACCGTCAGAGATATGGGAGGACGGTCAGCGAGCCTCTGCAGGCTGATGAGCGGGAACTGCAGGAGCTTTCTGGCAGAAGGAAACCAGCCTTAGTCAGGTAAAAAACTGGAAAATGTTTCAGGACTCTGACTTAATAATCACTGCCAAAATACAGTATATAATGTGTTTTTGGTGCTCACAAGGAAGATTCTCCCAAGATAATGAATTTCAGACCATGAAAGCCCAGATCATATAACTGTCCAAACACTTATGGTTTGGCCTATAGATGTGACTGTGCTGTCAATGCTTAGTGAATGTTCTAATTTTAACATGCATCATATCAAATGATGTAAAAAGTGTCTCACACGATTGGGACCAATTCTGCAGAGCTGTTTACCTTCTTGTATAGCTTCTAATTCACTGCCTGGTTCAGGTATCAGTGTTTGCAGCAGCTATCATAAACCAATTCAGTTAATGGATTACTTACATGGTCCTTACAGCACAGAGGGTCACAGCCAGACAGCCATGTACGACATGTCACTGCTGCTGATTCTTCCCCGACTGCATTGATTTTCCCCTGCAGATCAAAGACCTTCGACCACTCTCTGCTGACTCAGGTTAAGACAGACCCAGACTCCAAGATAGAGAGGAAGAAGTCTCACTACAGCCAGGTGAGCATTCATCAGGTGGAATGAACCGCCTATGAACAGTACAGCACAGGACTCAGCAGCCGTTTCCCAGCTGAGCACCATCATGTATCAGTTTTGCTATTGGCAGCCAATCCACAGAAACACAGGGATGGCACAAACATTCTGTGCTTCATTATTCAGCTTTACTTCTGTAAGTTTAGTGGCTCTAAATGCTACAACGCCCATGAGCACCAGCTGCTGTCAGAGGTGTGAAGCAGAGCTGGAGTGAATTCAGAACACTTCACTGCTAAATTCATCCACAGCTCTCAGAAAGTGAACAGATTTAAACTGCAGAGTGTTTTACAGTACTGTTCAAAATAATAGCAGTACAATGTGACTAACCAGAATAATCCAGGTTTTTAGTATATTTTTTATTGCTACATGGCAAACAAGTTACCAGTAGGTGCAGTAGATTCTCAGAAAGCAAACAAGACCCAGCATTCATGATATGCACGCTCTTAAGGCTGTGAAATTGGGCAATTAGTTGAAAGGGGTGTGTTCAAAAAAATAGCAGTGTCTGCCGTTGACTGTACAAACACAAAACTATTTTGTACAAACGTTTTTGTTTCTAGGATTTAGCAATCCTGTGAATCACTAAACTAATATTTAGTTGTATGACCACAGTTTTTTATAACTGCTTCACATCTGTGTGGCATGGAGTCAACCAACTTGTGGCACCTTTCAGCTGTTATTACACTCCATGATTCTTTAACAACATTCCACAATTCATTTACATTTCTTGGTTTTGCTTCAGAAACAGCATTTTTGATATCACCCCACAAGTTCTCGATTGGATTAAGGTCCGGGGATTGGGCTGGCCACTCCATAACATTAATTTTGTTGGTTTGGAACCAAGACTTTGCTCGTTTACTAGTGTGTTTGGGGTCATTGTCTTGTTGAAACAACCATTTCAAGGGCATGTCCTCTTCAGCATAAGGCAACATGACCTCTTCAAGTATTTTGACATATGCAAACTGATCCATGATCCCTGGTATGCGATAAATAGGCCCAACACCATAGTAGGAGAAACATGCCCATATCATGATGCTTGCACCACCATGCTTCACTGTCTTCACTGTGTACTGTGGCTTGAATTCAGAGTTTGGGGGTCGTCTCACAAACTGTCTGTGGCCCTTGGACCCAAAAAGAACAATTTTACTCTCATCAGTCCACAAAATGTTCCTCCATTTCTCTTTAGGCCAGTTGATGTGTTCTTTGGCAAATTGTAACCTCTTCTGCACGTGCCTTTTTTTTAACAGAGGGACTTTGCGGGGGATTCTTGAAAATAGATTAGCTTCACACAGACGTCTTCTAACTGTCACAGTACTTACAGGTAACTCCAGACTGTCTTTGATCATCCTGGAGCTGATCATTGGCTGGGCCTTTGCCATTCTGGTTATTCTTCGATCCATTTTGATGGTTGTCTTCCGTTTTCTTCCACGTCTCTCTGGTTTTGCTCTCCATTTTAAGGCATTGGAGATCATTTTAGCTGAACAGCCTATAATTTTTTGCACCTCTTTATAGGTTTTCCCCTCTCCAATCAACTTTTTAATCAAAGTACGCTGTTCTTCTGAACAATGTCTTGAACGACCCATTTTCCTCAGGCTTTCAAATGCATGTTCAACAAGTGCTGGCTTCATCCTTAAATAGGGGCCACCTGATTCACACCTGTTATTTCACAAAATTGATGACCTCACTGATTGAATGCCACACTGCTATTTTTTTGAACACACCCCTTTCAACTAATTGCCCAATTGCACAGCCTTAAGAGCGTGCATATCATGAATGCTGGGTCTTGTTTGCTTTCTGAGAATCTACTGCACCTACTGGTAACTTGTTTGCCATGTAGCAATAAAAAATATACTAAAAACCTGGATTATTCTGGTTAGTCACATTGTACTGCTATTATTTTGAACAATACTGTATATCTGACTGTTAGTGGCACACAAAACTGAAATTTAGACTTTAACTGGATGTTTGTTACTGACCTGCACCCTGAGTGCTGGCTTCTCTCCTCGAGATTTTAAATCACTGAGGATACAACCAGCAGAGCTTCATTTCTGTCCACAGAGAAGCTGCCAGTCCACCAACACTGTCTGTGAGACATGAACAAGACATTAACTGTGAGAACCCCGGATAACAAACCACTCATTTCATATGCTACGTTTCCTCCAAATCCCAAAATGTATCCCCCACCTCAGTGTTGATATGTTCAGTTTCAAAACTGTCAGTGTTTATGCAGTGTCTTGGTTGGACGACTGTGGACGTTACCAGCTGTGTCAACTCTCAACTTGACTTGTGACCAGATTAGTGTTAAGGCTAAAAACCTAAATTGTCAGTTTCATGTTTATCTTATAAACCCACAAATGACCAGCCCAACAATAACACCACAGCTCCACTTCTCTGCAGCTCCTAAAATAATATCCACAGTGTGCACTTTCCCATGCATGTGCAAGCATCACTCAGCAGTAATGTGTGTGTGAGCATGTTACTCCATAACTGTGTGTGTGTTGTGTTTCAGCTTTCAAAGGGCAACTGCCAGTACCATAAAATATTTAAGGAGATCAGCAAAGAGGAACAGCTGAGGCAGAGTAAGTCTTTAATGATCCAACTCTCCACTCCACCTTAAATACTGGATGAGGGAGCAGATAATAGTCCAACATTTGATGAGATGTTTGTTAAATACCACACAAAGATCTAATAACAAAAGCATGGGAGAACATTTAAGTTCAGCTATCATCCTTTTCATTTCTCATTCACTGTAATAAAGTGAAAGTGAAACATTTCACTTGTGAGCAAAACATATGTCAAATTCAAATCTACTCACTGCTGGATTTCTTTCTTCTCTGGCTCTGAACACACTGGACTTTCTGTCTTTTAAAGTAACCAAGTGTTTTGCAGCAACCTGATGTCACTCACCTGTTTGTCAGGTTACACCTGCGCCCTGCAGAAAGACATCCTCTACCAGGGACGAATGTTTGTCTCTGACCACTGGGTCTGCTTCCACTCCAGAGTCTTTGGCAAAGACACAAAGGTAAACTGGGAGAGAGATGACATTATAGTTAGTGTTTCCCTTTATGTGTCATGAACATCAAGCTGCAACATGTGGAAAACTAATCTGAACTCTCCACAGAGCGTCTCACTCCTGTTCCCACTTCAGGGTCTCTGACAGAAACTTCAAGAGCTCTGGTGGAAATGGCAGCACAGGCGACTTGAATGCGGTTTAATAGAATCAAAAATATAGTAAAAATAGAAAAGACACGCCTTATTTCTGTTATCAAAACCTGCATGAACAACCAAAAACAAGCCTCTTCAACGGGGGCAACTGGCTCAGAGCAGAGACACAACACAATGTTCACGTGTACCCATGGCCATAGCTAACACTGGTCTGTATTTACAGCATTTCCCTGCTTTTGGCCTCTGTTGCCTACTGTGCTGATGAGGTTTCAAGGATCATGTGACAGTGTGACCACTGCTTCCCACAGGATGAGTGAAACTGTACCAACAGAGAGTAAACTAGTCCCTGCAGGGCTGAACTGTTCATCCTGGTGTTTGTTCGTCCCAGATCGCCATCCCAGTGGTGTCAGTCACTCACATCAAGAAGACCAAAACCGCCATTCTGGTGCCAAACGCTCTGGTGATTGCCACGGCAAATGACAGGGTGAGAGCCAAGGTTCTTAGTTTCATCTCAGTACTTCATTCTGAGCACTGAAAAACATTATAACGCTCGCAGATAGACAGCATCTGTTTTTTTTTATGTTTGACTGTGAGCCGCATCAACAGCTCAACACTATCGGCTTCAAACATCTGTCACTAAAATCCTGGAGGCTCTGTTTCTTGTTGCAGTATGTGTTCGTGTCCTTCCTGTCCAGAGACAACACCTACAAGCTCCTGATGTCAGTCTGCCTTCAGCTGGAGGTAGGATCCATGTCCCACATGTAGAAAGCCTGGAAATTTGACTGCTTGAAACTTTAATTTTTTTCACGATAGTGAAACCTGCAAGTCTTTGTCTGAGCAAAACTTTTAAAGCTCGAGTAAATGAACTCAAACAAAGTCAACGCCGATTTCAATGCCTGCCAAACAGATGATTCTTTTTGTTGCTTTTTTGTGACGCTTTAAATTATCATCTACTATATTTGGCAGACAATTTATTCCCCTAAATTTCAGATTTCTAATTTAATTTAGCCTTACAGCTTCAAGGTTGCACATTATTCACTCATCTGCTATTTCTGGTTTTAATAAACAGTCATTTTATTATCATTATTATTGTTGTTTTACACAAACTGAAGACTCTGATTTGAGCCCAAAGTGTTTGTCATGACTTCTTTGTGAAATTAAAACATCAGGATACTTTGGGACAGAAACATCTGACTGTATGAATGTGTGCAGGAGAAGAGTCCATACAGCAGCTCCATCCCTTCTTCAGCGGAGAACAGCTTCCGAGGTCAGAGGTCACCTCACTGTCCTCTGGTAGGTCAAACACATACACACCAAAATGATGGATGCTTAAACACCAGAACAGTGAGAAGCTAGACAACATGGCT